TTCTGGGCCGGGAGCGCCGCGCTCAGCGCGCTGTATTGCTGGCTGAGGCTGCCGGAGAGTACGTCGTCCTTCGTCCTTTGCGTCTTGCGGAACGAGAACTGATCGCGGTTGTACTATTCGTGCAGCGCGCGGCCGGTCGTACGGCGAGCTTGACATTCTGTTCGAGAACAAGGTGCCTGCGTGGCGGTTCAGCAAGACCAAGGTCGACCGTGAGCGTTGGCTCTTATTGTCCCTCCTTCACTCCCGCTTACCCCGCTCGTTCACAGAATTCGGCTTCTCCGCGGGCCCGCCTACGCCCGCAGACGAAAAGGCCAGCCGAGACTCAAAGCAGGAGTACGCCGAGCCTGCGCTCATACGGATCTCGATTCGGCTGGGTTGAATTGTGTTACTCGGCGATTAATGCCGCATGGAGGAGGGAGGGAGAGGGACAGAGGCCCAGGCATGCGACATGCCTGGGATGTAACACCAATAACACCAACACTCAACTTACTTACAACTTACCTCCAGAGGGTACACTCAAGCCGCGCGCGGCCCTGTAATGTTTCAAATACGACTACGATTACGATTGGGATTAGGATAATCACACGTTTGCAGAGGAACTTGTTGTGGGCGGGCAAGGCAGAGTGAATAGGTTGGTCGAGTCGTGATTCAAACTTGGGCTTTCGGATCAGTTACACTTTTCGGCGAGTTCGCGACTCTATGAGACTATACGACCGGATCGTCTTTGCCACAGTGGAGCCCGCGATTTGGTGAGTCTTGTGGGATTGATTGTCACACCGGGGAAAGCAATCTCTTGACGTAGGGCAAGAGGGTAAGCAATAGTAGTTGATTCAGTAGACGAAAAATAAGAATATAATTGATGTCTTGATGTAGTATGAAACCAACCCAAAAAGAGCAAGTGTCAAACAACCTATTGAGAATAAACTTCACTCTTAGTGTTCGCAAAGTACGATGCAAGCAAGTCAAACATATCGCAAGCAAGAAAAATTCATCTCCGTTTCACTCGACTCTCTTGAGAGACACTTTTAATTATATCAGTTCTAACTCGTACCTCGTTCGATATAAGTAACCCTCAGAGACCCACAGCCTTCAGAAGTCCGTCAAAATTCGGCGTCCCGAGGCCCGTGACAGGATCCCATCCCGTTGTTGCAGAGAAACCACTGCATCATCTAGTAAGCGCCCCATCCAACTGAACGGATAACATCAGATAACCAACGAACTCACTCGGTATTGCATCCAGGATTATGCCCTGCGCCATATGCGCCGCATCAGTGATCATAGAGCTACGAGACCAGACGGATGTGTGGGTAGCAACGGCGTACCAGACGTGACGTCCGTGAACGATGTCCTCCCCGTGGTGCTGTACAAGAATGGGTTGAGGAACCCAAGCACAGGCTTGCCTGCGGCCAGTAGTCGATCGTTGACGAGCGCGATCATGCTCGCAAAGATGGGGCTCGCGCAGCTGGTACCGTCAACCAGATTGACCTGCCCTCCTCTCGAATTACTCTGTATGCACAAAATGAAATAGAACATACGCTGCCCTCTGTCATTGAGATACCAAATCAGCATTCACGCGCAAAAAAGGAAGGTAGGACGAAGGATCGACGCACGCCACACGATCTCAATATTATGCGACGCCGCCGAAACATCCGGAAACCCGCGCCCGCTCTTGTTATACAGGCCCTCGTACAGCGTCCCGATGGACCCGAGGTACGCGGCGACGTCGGCGGCTTGATAATTGGGGGTCGGGAAGTAGTTGGAGAACCCACCGCTGGAGAAGAGCGAGGCGGCGTGCGGGGGGACGTTGGTGGTTCCGCCGACGGAGGTGATGCTGCGAACGTCAACGCCGACACACAGTGAAACAATTTAGTGAGAGAGGCGGGAAGGGGGAGGGGGAAGACGCACAATGGACACCCGCCCGGCGCGGACGGTACAAAATTCGTGCACGTAGTTGGCTGGACGCCACCCACACCGCCTTCGAGCAAATTATTCGTGAGTTTTTAGTGGTTGAGAGATAGTAAAGTAAAAAAGTGCACCGTCTCCTGAAGCAAATATCGCTGATATACCTATTCGCTCGAGTCAGGCGGCGTCTGCACCCGGTGCAAGCACACCTACCGACGGCCCCGAGCTGCATGTACGCATTGCACACCGCGCTGGGTGGGATCGCACTCAATCCGGGTATGCGCATATGAGTCCATATGAGTAGCGTATTACTCACACAGCAAGCGACTCGGGTAAATCCTGCTCGTTGAACCCGTAGCTCGTGGTGAGCACTGTGGGTCGTTGCGCGGCGGGCGTTTTAAGTATGGAGTTCACGATATCCTATCAAAGGAGATGATATCTGTCCAACGGAAACCGGGAATTGAATTTGGGCAGGGGAACGCACTATGAATCCCGAAATACCGTCCTGGCTGTCGTCTCCCACCGAGATGAAGCTCACGGGAACGCCCGAGGCGACACCGACGGTGTATTGGATGTCGAGATCGGCTGCAGACACAAAAGCCTGGAATGACAGATCCAAAGAGGTAAATTCGAACTACACACGCACCTTCGATTCCGGCATTGCTAAGAAAGAGCGCGATTAAACATCAATAGCAGCAAAAACGAGCTACAGAATCGGAGCGCACAACACATCCTGGTCGTTCGCCCCGCCATCCATTGTTTGAACACTGAACGTCGACCCCGCCAAGTCGGGGCGTGTATTCGCCAGGAATCTCTGAACACATCAGCCTGTCAGAATGGATCCTCCTTGAGAACTCCAAACGAAAACGCGACCTACTGTGAGATCTGCTATGTTGGCAAATTGCTTTCAAACATAGTGGAGCAATCAGATTTCCATTTCACAGATAAAGCGGGAAATATTTACGTCGATATAGCCTGCGACGCCGAGCACGTTGGACGCAGAATGGTTGGCCTTGGCGCTGGGGATGCCAAATACAGCTTGGAGGCACGACTAAATACCGCAAAGATGGGTGAGGATATGCCCGACACCCGTGGCGACTAAGATGACCGGAATACACACAGGATTCGTGTCGAACGCACACGACGCCGGGATCGCAACAGACGCACGTCGCTCAACCCCTTCGGAGCGGCGCGTGTGATTTGCCTTGACCACAGCCACGCCGGGGACGCGCAGCGGCGGAACGAACGCGACCGTAGGGTGCACAAAGCGAATGTGTGCCTGCATCGCGGCAGGGACGGCGTACGACAGCGTGCGCACGCTCCTCGTGCCGCTCGCCACATGTGTGAATGTGCGGAAATCCGCAGCCAAAAGGGCGTTCGCCTCTCGCACGGGAAGGGTGACCTGCAGGATGTCATTGAAAGGCGACACGCTCGTGGGAGTGAGGCCGTGCGCAGCAAGCCAGGTAAAGACAGCGGAGGAGGCGGCGGGCGGAGGTCTGACGAATTCTGCTACCTGATGAAAAAAGGGCTTGATCGAGGAGAATCCGTCAATGAATGATAGGACACACTCCCTCGGTGGTGAGATGTTGCCCGTACAGCGCATTGGCGGGATCGGAGACGGCGTAGGTTCTGTCCTGCAGCCCGACGATGTCCGATTGCGCGAGTGCGATGCGGAGCGTGATTTCTTCGTCGGGGGAGACGGCGCTGACATGCGCGAATGCGGTTGGGAGGGCTGCGACACTTTCGTGGACGATCATCGGGCCGAGATCCACCGTGGAGGATGCGCTACCGATTTTCGAGATCGCTGCAAGGGGGAGGAGGAAAGCCGGACGCATTGCGAGGGTGCTGGTCATCGTATTCTTCGCCCCCAGGTTAAATATACGCCTGATTACTCAGATGGGATGGGAGAATGTCCCAGAAGAACAGCCTTGGAACAGACGGAGTCGCGAAGAGCGGCGTCCGAGCATGGGCCTGGAACTTGGGACGCCCTGATCTGGTGAGAAGACGAACTTTAACCCCGCTCTAACGCCGCGTGATATGTTTCTCAAAGCAGGGGTACGCACCGTGTTGGTGTGACAGTGTAGTGACAGAGAATGTCCCCGATTTTCTGAGAGTCTGACAGGAGTGAGTTGAACTGTGCGCAGAGGCACCCGAGCTTCATGCAGGTGTGGTTGGCTTTGTTGTGTTTTCGGTGCCGAAATTTCGAGGATTTTCAGCAGCAGGCCCCCGCGTCCCAACTCGTCCAAGTCCTTCGCTTTTTTTTTTCGTTCTTTTTCTTCATTCTTCTGCTAAAATTGAAAATGTATCCCACTAAATGAGGTACAGAACTAAGGAAGGAAATGGGACCTGGTGTATAGTGCATAGCTGCTCAGTTTAAATATTCCTGCTCAAAGATGTTTCAGCGGCAGGCTGGGGTTCGATTCCCCGGGTCCCACTCAATGTCTTGCAAGAGGTGGGCGGCCGAAAAATGTCAGATATCAGCCTTTTTTCGGACTTAAGTCGGGAGTCCGGTCTGACCCTTTTTGGGTTTTAACACACATCTGGTCGAACTTCTGTTTTCTCGTCCCGCAACAAGCCCATTTACAGAAAATGATTGAGAGACCCCCCCATAATCGTGTCTTCCAAAGCGACTGGAGAGGTTTTCATAATATTTTGGGGAAGCTGAAGGACGATATTCAACGATTCGCCATTAGTTGCGTCGGACCGGACAAGCGAAGTTGACTGATGTTCACAACTCAGTAGGGAACTGGGACGTGTACGGTGCATAGCTGCTCACTCTAGGTATCCCTCCTCAAAGATGTTTCAGCAGCAGGCCGGGGTTCGATTCCTTAAAACCCATTACCTTCTTGTTGCGCTTTTTTCTCTCTTTTTACCCAAAAGTTGCAAAAGGTATCCCATGCAGAGAGGTACAGAACAGAGGAAGAAAATGGGATCTGGTGTGTGGTGCACGGCTGCCTTTGATCCCCGAGAAGTTTGCAGTGTATGCAGCGATGGGGTTCGACTCCCCGGATCCCAATCAGCCATGTGGAGTTTGCATTTTTGGCAGAAGAATGAGAAAAAAACAGAGTGTTTAGTGCAGGACCGAACAAGGCAAAGAATGGGACCTGGTGTACGGTGCACAGCTGCCTTCGATATCAAATCTCAGCAACGGGGGCAGCAGCGAGACGGGGTTCAATTCCCTGGGTCCCAAATTTGAAGTTTGCATTTGTGGCAGAAGAATGAGAAAAAAAAAACAGAGTGTTTAGTGCAGGACGGGTAGTAGCCTTCTTCGTCACTTCGTTACTTCGCTTATTTTCAAGAAACCTCGTCACTTTGATCGCATTCAGGGAAAGTTCGTTACTTCCGATGATTTTCTATGAAAGTTCTTCAGGTGAGTAAATTCTAATGAAAATTCGTGAACTCAGAGTTCATCCGGATCATCCGATGTTGAAAACATCAGGAAAACCCTCCCGAGTTAATTTCATGGAACTTCTAGAAAATTTAGGGAAATTTCACTCATTTCATCGATTTCGCGAAATTTCGTCGAATTACCATATTGATCGGTTTGAGGTCCGTTAATTTGGCGAAATTTTTGGAAAGTTTCGCAAGCTTTGGGAGCCTTTTCATTCCTTAACTCTGATAGTATTGCTAGCAGCTCACAAGATTACAAGCAGAGATTGTTGTATTCAAAGCTACATAGATACAAATGTCGCTACAGGGTGGCTACAGCTCCCAGGCTCTCCGCAAAGATATAAACCCCGCATCAAGCAAACACAGTCTAACAACATATTAGAAGCGAGATAAGGGAGAGCAGAAATGAAACTCACGGTCACGCAGTCAGACAAGATTGAATGCCGACAGGAATCTTGAACTTAGCAACACGTGAGCAAAGAGAGCATAACAGTGAGAACGAACTTACAGTGGTTTATACAAAGTCAGCCCCAAAATCATCAGCCAATCTGGGTGTGGGCATGTCAGTCAAAACATCAGAAAAAAAATGCACCCAGCTTGCCATGTGTTCCTCACGGCCATTCGTTGCTGACATATAATGCGGATAAAACTCAGCGGCGTGAGATTTGAAGTCCCAGGAGGCTACATTGCCATTGAGCTGTGAGCTGGAATTGTGATCTTTAGGAAAACAAAGTGGGTCAGAAAATAATTAGTCATGTCGAATTTAAACACACTAACAGAGTCAACAACGAGAATGTGCAAGACATCGGCTAGATGGTGGACTGTGGGAGAAAATATGAAAAAGGATACGTTGAAGGCTGCAGCTATTGTATGCGGGTTGTGTGCAGGCATCAACCTGAAAGAGCACATGGATGAGCGAGGGATCCGGGAAAGAGAAAAAGAGAAAAGAGATGGGTATGGTGTACCTGTCACGCATAGCACCGATGTCAGCGCGACGAGCCAGCGAGCATGATGAGGCAGTCGGCAGTGGCGGCATTTTTGAGTGAGGTGGTCAGTGGCAGGCTTGCTCACGGAGACACTGGGGAGAAGGCGAAAGAGCAGGGGGGGATGATGGTGATTGGAGGAAGAAAAGTGTTTGACAGGTTACGACACGGTTCGGCAATACTTGACATGTGGCGTACATGAGCGCTGATTGGCTGATGTGTACAGATCGCCGAATGCAGAGGTGGCATCGGAGCTGATCAGGACTTTGGCTAATGACTTGCACGCTATTTTTTGTCAAGTGCTAAGGACTTCCTTTGCACTCGTCCTTCGGTCCTCGTGTGCACATCCACAGATACTACTGACTCACTTCTGAGAGAACTACTGGTCACCCGCTTAAGTCTCTTTATTCCGATATCCCGCATTGAAACATTTGTTCCCACTTGATACTAGTTCAGCTTGAAGCCATGAATGAAAACCCAAGAAAGGTGTAGGTAGGGAAGAGATATTCAGTGAAATTTGAATGAAATTTGGGAGAATCTTTGAGAGCTTCAAGAAATAACCCAAAATGTCGCGAAATTCAGTGAAATATCACTGAATGTTACGAGATATTCTTCGCATATCATAATTTCGGCAGAATTTCCCGAAATTAACAAAGGAGGTTTTTCCTGATGAATTATGTAGCATGTTCACCTTTCCTCTACCATCACCACGACCGTCGCTCAGTCTTTTGAACACTTTAAGAAGGTTCAAGGAGCACAGATAATCCAACAAAGGTTGTGAGGAACAAGCCTGTTTTAAGAGGTCTAGTCCAAAGTGCAAGAGTTGATTTATAGTATTAGACCTCTTTGAGCAATGCCAAATGAGTGCCTAAGCCAACAAATCGAGTTTTAAGCTTTAGAAGCTTGAGCCAACAATCCCAATCCTAATAATCTCTCTCTAGCTTCTTAACCATTCCCAATCCCAAGATCCTGAGTCAACAATTGATATTTAAACTACTTGTGCAGACGAAACAAAACTTCTTAATGAAGTCAGTCCTGGGTGACAAGTCTCGAATCTCCATTGTTTATCAAGCAGTATCCAGTAAAGGCTACTGCTCTTAGGGACAGAAAGCTCAGTGCCTATCCATGCCAAAACCTCCTCCTTATATACTGTACAATTATGCTTACAATTCAACAATTATTCTACTTGCTGGTATATGAGTAAGGTGTCCATAGTTAATCACGTGTGGGTAAATATATAGGATCCTTGTGTGTCGACCCCTTAATGCTTGAGTGTGTCCAGTGTGACTGCTTCCTGTTCGATTGTGTAGACAGTCCCATCTTCTATCCTCGTGTCCCCTGTTCAGGACCTTCAGTTTTAGGTAGACGCAGGTACTGGCTCTGAGCCAGTATCTTAATCAGCCCAAACCGCCAAGTGGTTGTGGAGATATGCGAGTTACCGTCCTGCCCTGGTCCAAGTAACCAAATCAGGATGGCAACAATGGTCAGATAGTTGATAAGCAAGGTCCAACCACAGCCGGGTAACCGGCTACTGCTAAACCTGAGTCACCTGATCCATTGCACAAGGCTCCGTTTGTAAATCAAGCACAACAAAGTACTTGAACACCTAATCAAGACTCCACAGTGGTGCCCCAGATCATCAGAGAGGATGATTAATATTGCCCATGTGGTTTGTGGGCTCTGCAATGCCTTGATTAAGCAGTGATGCTTAATCTTGGCTATTAAACCCTTAATCATGGATGTCAACCAGTATGAACTTTCCAGTTGATGCATCCCAGGCGGACTTGATTAAGGTCCTCATGCAGGATCAAGCCCTGATTAGCCATATTACTCGTATATTAATGAGATCCCTCGAATCACATTGTTCATGTTTGCCACGATCTGACAATCCCCCGTTTATCATTTTTTCTGAACCATGTTCCGCTACCTAGACTATGTTTGTCCTGCCATTCCCATGCAACATTCAAAATGACAGACACCCTGGCATCTTCCATATTACAACAACTGTCCTGATCAATCACTGACACACTCAAAGCTCACACAAAAGTGAGGTTGGCCAGTGTGCTTCTTTACCTCTTTCCCCCCACCATCGCCTCACTGTGATCCCTCCCATCTTCTGTGGCATCTGCCAGAAGCCCCGCAAAAATCACAGCCTCGCCAATATTATTATTCGTATCTTAAGTAGATGGTGCGAATCAGATTAGTCGTTTTTGTTCTCCCAACTTTTCCCTGTTTGCCCCGCTGAGTTCCAAACCGACTTTTGTCTCGGCCACCTGACTGTTGATTAGCTTTGAGAAGCCACGGGCATTTATTTTCGACCTCGCTGATCAACCGCTCAATATCTGTTCAAAAGGCAGGTGGTCCTTCCATTCGCTCTTCCTTTCACCCCCATCATTTGAGGCAGAGCCGCTCCCTGCATTTGTGCCCTTGCGTTGTTCCTCCACTACATGTTCTCGTGAAACGAGGTCGCGTGTCATCTTGCAAGCTCAAGATTCTCTGTTTGTTTTAACCGTCAAGTACAAGACGCCAAAACAGTTCCTATATTTGTCCTCAATACTCCAAATTGTCCCAACTCTTCAGCTCTTCTCAAGCACCCCTCAATATAGCAACGTCTGATACCTCTCCACTACCAAGATTGGCCTTGATCCAATACAAGTTCTCTGCAAGTTGTTCAGCCATCAATCAAGAACAGCCAACGTACAATGTTTTATCCAAGCTTCGATTAACACAATCTCGCTCCGTGGCAGGTGCTATGAACCTGATACTTCCAAGATTTCAAGCTACATGTAGCTCCTCCAACTGTTCCAATGTTGTTTAAGATCCGCAGGGTGAAAGGATGTCTATTTAAATCTCTCCTTGATCGTGCATCTTTGGCGAGCTGCCAATTCCCTGTGCTCCAGGCCTAGAGAAGTGTTGATCCACATTTCCATCATGGTTACTGACGTTATCTGTATATCCATAGCTGCGCAATTTTGTATGGTTGAGATCTGGGTGCGTATTTCTTCCCTCAATCTCTGGTTCCTGACAAGAAATATGCACTTGCTGGCCTTCACTTGCACGATATTTAGGTACGAGGCGACACAATACATCCCACGGCATGCCAGCCGCTTGGGCATGCTCTCATCGAGCCGATTTTGCAAACATCAAGTGCCGAGAGCACCCTTGATTCCTGTGTTGGGCCAGAAATATGTTGAGTAAGGCCGTCCCATGCCTTTCCATGACACTGAGTCATGCATGGGATCAACAGGTGGCCAACTCGACCCAATGAAAGCGGGCTGTTCAACAGCAAGTCCACGTTCATCTGCATCTAGGTTAATACTCAACGCCTCAAACATATAGTTAGCATTTTCCGAAAATATATTCCCAGTCTCCCCCAAGCTGTCGACACTGTACTGTGCATCTATAGAAGAACATCAATTAATTAAACTGTACTCGTGCGTTCCTGAACAAAAAGTTACTCAACTTTCTTTCGACTTGAAAACACGATTGAGGTTCAATCTGCAGACCGTTGATAAGCCGGTAATTGGGCCATGGTTAGATACATGTAATTTTGTGTGTTTCTGATCGTGCTCATTGCTGAAACTGTTGTTTCTACGCAACAGTACTGGTTCCTGGTAGCCGTTGGGCGAACCACAGAGAAATGGGTAGACATTCTACGGAATTAGAACTTCCATTGGCTAGTCTCACCCTGAAAACCATAAGGGAAACGTGCAGCCAATTAATAAGTCAAGGAACTTCTTTTGACTTGTTTCCAACACCCACTTAAGCAACGGAAACAAGTCAAAGGAACGGGAGTTGGGCAATGTGTTGTGTTGTG